CGGCACCATTTCTTAAGACAGCCACTGCCTGTTGGTGTTAATTCGGCACCATTTCTTAAGACAGCCACTGCCTGTTGGTGTTAATTGGCCACCATTTCTTAAGACAGCCACTGTCTGTTGGTGTTAATTCGGCACCATTTCTTAAGACAGCCACTGCCTGTTGGTGTTAATTCGGCACCATTTCTTAAGACAGCCACTTCCTGTTGGTGTTAATTGGCCACCATTTCCCTTCGTCTAATTCTAAAAACTGTCCTCGGTGTACAACGCTGATAGTTTTAAATACGGAAGGCAAACAGCAAACAGCATTTGTGGAAACTAAAATGTAAAGCTAGCAGTTTCAAATTGATACATGTATACGATCTTTTCCCCTCTCCTTTTATTTATATAGTTTCGATTTTTACTTCGCGATATTTATTACGTCTTAAAGCAAGTTGTTCCCTGTTGTTTTACTACAGTTTTTTTTTATGCTCATTTTTTTTCACAGTTTTTTATCCCTTCATTTATAATCTCTGACACTTTATTTACGTAACACCTATGTTTTGACATTATTTGATGCATAATTTAACGTTTCGGTCAATTTTTTTTACCTTGTTTCACACTCATTTTTCAAGATATTTCGTTTACTTTTCAATCTTTCATAAATTATTGTTTAGTGAATAATTTGGGATACCCATCTTTTTTTTTTTACATTATTTGATACACGATATTTACAATAAGTGATGATTAATTTTCACTACGTTTGGTGCCATTAGAAACAGAAGAACATAAGATCACTCATTCTAAAATTTTCGTATCCGTTTGAGCAGAAAACGTATATAATGCCGGTTTACTAAACTTTATACTCCATGCAGGCAATAGGGAAATCATCGGACGACCGGCTTTCCGTCCTCTCACAGCGCGTGAACAATGTCTATTGTGTCAGCTTGTTCAGAGTTAATTGCAAAGTTTTTTGTGGTTAGCTAAAGACCTGAACGTTGTAAAGGTTATGCATACGTATATGTTGGCATTCCTGTCCAAATGCTAGTGCATTAGCTTATTAACCGAGGAAATGGTCTCCTGATATTCGAGGTTATTAGTCGACCTCAAAAACCATAGTATTGAGCGAAAGGCCTCGCAGGCATTGGTCATAGAAGGTATAGCGCGGTTGACTTATTATTAAATATTCTTCTTTGCTTTCACTCATAAGTTCTTAGACTGTATATATATATATATATATATATATATATATATAT